TGTGTGTGTGTGTGTGTGTGTGTGTACACTAGGGCTTGAGTCACAGCTTCACTTACTGGTTTTTGGAGATAAGAACCTCACAATTTTCTGCTTCAGGTGGCTTCAAACCTTGATTCTCAGGTCTCAGCCTCTGGAGTAGCTAGGAAAATAGGAGTGCCACTGGCACCCAGTATGACTAGCATGCTTTCTACAATGAAAGTTTAGAAGGAAGCTTTTTTGTTCACCACTTTGCATTTCATTTTATGTGTGTGTGTGTGTGTGTGTGTGTGTGTGTATAATTAAATTGCAGCTAATGGGAGGAGTTAATATTGGGGCTGGGCACTGATGGCTCATGCCTATAATCCTAGCTACTCAGGAGGCTGAGATCTGAGGATCCTGGTTCAAAGCCAGGCAGGGCAGGAAAGTCTGTGAGACTCTTATCTCCAATAAACTACTCAGAAAAAGCTGGAAATGGCACTGTGGCTCAAGTGGTAAAGTGCTAGACTTGAGCACAGAGAGGCTCAGGCCCAGGCCCCAAGTTCAAGCCTCAAGGCTGGTCAAAGAAAAATTAATATTGAACAAATAATTTGACAGTAAAGTACTCACAATTCTGGATATAACCTCTAAGAGAAATGAATATTTGCAACATAAAATGTGCACTATAATACATGGTATATGAATTCATATACAATAATAACTGCATATAGTTTGAACAAATTATTTTACTTTCATACTTCTCAAACACTATATATATGGTTACAAAACAAACCTTATAAATCACTGAGTTTGTAAGGCACTTCCCTCCTCTAGTTTAAGTCCTACCTAGCTTACTTCATCTATTGTTAACCAAGAATATCTAGAGAATAATATTTTTATGAACAAATAATTGTATACCATTTTAAACTATCACTGATAGGAGTATCTTAAAATTAAAAAGCACCAAGCTTATACAGCTTCCTCCTTTTAATAAATCACAAATTCAATGTATTAACATTCAGACACTATGTTACTTATATCCTTATTTTTTTGTTTTTTTTTTGTTTTTTTGTCAGTTGTGGGGCTTGAAAACTTCCAGTTTTCTGGTGGTTTATTGGAGATAAGAGTCTTACAGGGCTGGGAAGGTGGCTCAGTGGTAGAGCGCTTGCCTTGCATGCCTGAGGTCCTGGGTTTGATTCCTCAGCACCACATAAGCAAAAAGAAAAAAGCCAGAAGTGGCACTGTGGCTCAAGTGGTAGAGCGCTAGATTTGAGCTGAAGAGTTGAGGGACAGCACCCAGGCCCAGAGTTCAGGCCCCACAACCGGACCCAAAAAACAAAAAAAAGAAAAGAGTCTTACAGATTTTGCTGCCTGGGCTGGCTTTGAACCCTGATCATCAGATCTCAACCTCCTGAGTAACTAGGATTACAGGCATGAACCACCAGAACCCAGCATCATATCCTTATTTCTAATTCACAAATAGACATAAAAAGGAGCATTTCACCTCTATAATTACCATTATATTTACTCTGTTCTCATAAATAGCAAAATTATCTACCATTTGAGCATTAGTATACATTCTTAACATGCATCAACTCATTAAATTTTCATAATGACCTTGTAAGACTATGGTAGAATTAAAATGAAGACACTAAGACTCAGAAAGATTAAATTAAGCTGGGCGTCAGTGGCTCACGCCTGTAATCCTAGCTACTCAGGAGGCTGAGATCTGAGGATTGCAATTCAAAGCCAGCTCAGGCAGGAAAGGCTGTAAGACTCTTATCTCCAATAAACCAAGAAACCGGAAGTAGTGCTATAGCTCAAGTGGTAGAGTGCTTGGCTTGAGCTGAAGAGCTGAGGGACAGTGCCCAGGCCAAGTTCAAGCCCCACAACTGACAAAAAAAAAAAAAAGATGCGCCGGGCGCTGGTGGCTCACGCCTGTAATCCTAGCTACTCAGGAGGCTGAGATCTGAGGATCGCAGTTCAAAGCCAGCCCGGGCAGGAAAGACTGTGAGACTCCTATCTCCAATAAACCACTAGAAAACCGGAAGTGGCGCTGTAGCTCAAGTGGTAGAGCACTCGCCTTGAGCTGAAGAGCTGAGGGACAGCACCCAGGCCCAGAATTCAAGCCCCACAACCTTAATTTATAGCATTGGCAGAAGATAATATATTTAATGCACCCAGCAATGCTGACACAAGATACTTTTTATATCTATACTCATAGGACATAAGATGTTAGCAAAGCAGAGATGCTGAAAGCTGTAAAGACTAATAGAAAAACAGGCTATCTATGTATTATATATATAATATATTCATTTTTATTATCTTTAGCTGTACAAAGGAGGTTTCAATTCAACATATCAGTTTCTGAGTACAAAACATCTCACTGTCACAACTTCCATCATTCACCTCCAAGGACTGTTAGGTTTCTTATGTCAAAAACACATTCTCACTGGGAAGGTGGCTCAATGGTAGAGTCCTTGCCTTGCATGCATGAGGCCCTGGGTTTGATTCCTTAGAACCACATAAGCAGAAAAAGCCAAAAGTGGCACTGTGGCTCAAGTGATAGAGTGCTAGCCTTGAGCTAAAGAGCTCAGAGACAGCACCCAGGCCTAGAGTTCAGGCCCCATGACCAACAAAAAAAAAATCTCTAAAATGAACTCCAGACAATGAAAACAAACAGAAAAGAAAGGAATAAATTCTTACTGGTGGTTCATGCCTGTAATCCTAGCTGTTCGGGAAGCTAAGATCTGAGGATCAT